GACAAAATTAGGTACCTCTTCCAAGAGATGACATGACTTCTGTTTGAATGGTTTGTTTTCAGTATTAAAACCAGTTTAGACTCTCGTCTGTTGAAAAAAAAAAATGCAGATCTTAACAGTTTTTTTCTCATCTGTTGAAAAAAAAAATGCAGATCTTAACAGTTTTTTCATGTTCCCGAATGCACCGTTGGAGACCGGAGCATGCATGTTGGGATTATTTTTAATGAGAAACTTTTTATGGGGAAAGCAGTGGTGGCAGGCAGGGAGCTCGCTGCGTCGCCGGCGGCATGGGGACGGCCGTGGGACAGTGGGAAGCTGGGGTATGTCTTCTGCTGCTCTTCGATGTTCACGTATCTCAGTAGGCTTCTGTGGTGGTGCCTGGTGCCTCTTCAATAGCAGGGCACCAAGCCCAGCAGAGACCATTGGCCTCTCGGGCTGGAGCCCACTGCTGAGGTCCGTGCTGGGGACGGCATCGCAGCCCGAGCACCAGCCGTGGGCTGCCGTGTGCTGGACCTTCCCGGGCAGAGCCCCTGCAGCCCCTTGCCTGGGGGCACGGGAGGGCTGGTCCAGCGCAGGAGGGGTTCAGCCCTGTCCTTGGAAAGGCATGGTCTCCGCAGCCTCCCGGGTGACGCTGCCCGTGGGCAGCAGGTTTTATGCCTTCTCCACCCCTTCTTCTCTCGCCACCCGAGCGGTGTCACAGCCCCTGCCCGGCACTGCCAGCCCTGTCCCGTCAGCACCCGCCCAGCAATTCAGCGTTATTAAAAGAAAAGGGTTACTGTTCCTGCTATGCTAATAGGGCGAACGCCTGCTCTGCGAGTAGCTGTTCCCTTCCTGACCTCGGGGAAATGTCTGCACACAGCAGCAAGTGGAAAATCACTGCATGCTAACGGCTCGCTGGGGCTGCTCGCTGGCAAGGTGCAGCTTGCCCCCTGCTCACGCCTCTTCAGATGCCCCACGTTTTCCCGCAGAAGTGGGGCCAGCCCTCAGGAGTGGTACCGGCAGCGACGGTGGCTTCTCTTGCCGGCGAGGATGTTGCCTGGCAAGCTTGCCAGCCGGTGGCTGTTACTAATACTGCGCCTGGGTGCTGTTGAGCAACAGCTGTGACAGCAATAGCTCATCAATGGAACAGGAATAGCTCCTGGCCGCGGGCCTGTTCGGAGGCAACATGGGATCCTCTGGGGGATGTTCTGTTGCGAGAAGAGACTGTACGTGTCCTCCAAAATACCGGCCCTGTCCCATGACTTTACGGAGAAGGCAAGATGTTTGTCGCAGTGCTGGGTCTGGTTGGTGAGCGCCCCGGTGTCCGTCCCAGCTCCTGCGGGCAGCAGACGGGGCAGGGCTGGCATTCACCACATGGAAAACTCTTAGTGAGCCTGTACAGTGTGGTGTTTTCCTTAGAATCAGCCTTTTAATATTAACTCAAGTTTAAAATGGGCTCTCATGTAAGTCTGAAGGTGATAGTGATACAGAGAGAGAGAGAGAAAGAATTAATAGAAATTGCTTTCGTTTTTCCTGTAGATGTCTGTGGAGCAGGTACATTAGAAATGTTGGGAAGAGACAAATGCAGCAGTGGAGCCTGTGTCCTGGCACCACTTGGCAGAAATACCCACTTTGGTGTGTACAGGCTTCAGCCACTTTGCAGGGGATCCAGTCCCCAGGACCTATTCTTACCTAGGATGGTATCCTGGTATGCTGAAGAAGGATCCTAGATTTAAAATTACTTGAATGCTTTTGGGATGACTGGATAGGAAGAAGCTACACAAGTATGCAGAAGCCTCTGTGGTTTGTCTCCCAGGCCCTGGGAAGGAGACAGCTTTCTTCTGTTTGCACTAACTTGGGTTTTTTTTTTTGCTTTTGGAGGAAGTGGGAGAAGGACTTAACAAAGCCAGAGCAAGCAGTGAAGTGAGGTGCTGGTGGGATCATTCTTCTGGCAGCGCCTTTCTGGTGGGCCGGTGTAGTTGTGCCTGTGCCGCTGTGTGGCTGCCCCCCCCCTTTCGCAAGGACTTTCCTGTTTTTGGCAGGACAGAGCCATCTCCATCGGTCTGTCGTGATTACCTTGCAGATATCTGCCACCTGATGTGCTGCCTGTGCTAACCGGGATGGGCAGTTGCCCGTCCTCCCCCGGAAGCAGAGCGCGGCACTGACGGGCGAGCCCCTGATGGGAAGAGAAGCCCAGCGGGGCAGAGCCCGGCAGCGCCGCCGTCCCTGCAGGGACGGTCCCTCCTGTGAAAGCTGCCTTCAGCCCCGGCCCTGGCAGAGATGGAAACAAAGGAGTGTCTCTCCTGTACCAAAACCTTACCGAGGACAGGAGCTCTGGGCACCAGCTGGCCCGTGCACACGCGCGTGCCCCTGCCCGCTTCCCGGTCCGGCAAGGTGTTCTGCAGGTAGCGAGCCCTGCTCTTACAGCCCCGGGGCTCCACAGCCAGCTCTGCCCGTGCACCCTGGCTCTGCCCTGCTCTGAGGGGAAAGCCTGTAAGAAGTGTTGAGATGTTTCCCCGGGCTGCCCGGTGTGACGATGGCCGGGAGCACCTTCTGCAGGATCCCGTGGTAGCAATGCCGTTCAGCGGCTCTGCTGCAGTGGCAGGTCCCCTGGCAGCTTCAACACTATGGCAGCGGTACCCAGTGAGCTGGATGGGGACGTCTGGAAATGGGCACTTGTCCCAGCTGCCTTCATCCACCGTGGGGAAGTATTTGCAAGTCCTCGGAATAAAAACAGTGGCCCTTGAGGCAGCGGTGAGTGAGTTACGGAGGGTGGCTGACTGTCAGGCAGCAGTGTCTGGCTTTAACTCCCACGCGCACCCTCCTACGGGTAAAATGCTTGCTAGGAAAGTGACCCCCTGGGGAAGTGTCCCATAGAGGTGAGACTGTCTTCCCAGCCCCAGGCATTTAAAGGAGGAGAAAAGAGGCCAACGCACAAAGCTTACACTGTGCCTCGGTGCTCCCAGCCCCGCTGTGCTGGCCCGGTAACGCAGGGGACACGGTGGAGGAGCTGCGGCCGGTGCCAAGCCCAGGAGCGGTGCCAAAACGCAGCTGAGGAATGAGCGAGGGGGAGATGGAAGGAGGCAGCTGGAGCCGGCGCCGGGACTGACGCCGCCCGTGTGCTGCTGCCGGGGCCATGCCGGTGCCATGCTGGTGCTGCCGGGGCAGCGCTGAGGATCCAGGGGGCCTGGGTGCAGATCAGGTCTGTGGGGTGCTAACAGGGGTGGCAGTGCCTGACGCCATCTTCTCCAGGTGGGTGCAGCTTCTCCAGCTCTGCTGCATCATGGTCTCCCGTGCTCCTGTCCTTGCCTTGTCTCCTCGCTCCTACTTCCCAGGAGCTGTGACCACCACCTCCGCTTCACCGCAGAGGGCACCAGCGAGGCTGGCACTGTTCTCACCGTAACGGAGATTTGGGATCTGAGCAGGCCCTTTTGGCTCAGCGGTGGTGGTGGCCGTGGCCGGGAGGAGCTGCCACACAGCAGTGCTTGCACTGCCACCGACACAGGTCCTGCCAACCATGGCCTGCTAGTGCTTTGCTCGCTCCTCTGTTCCTCTCCCTGATGGTCTTCCCCTCCGCCAGCATCTTGAGGCTGTCTCAGTGCCCCCCGCATGGACGAAGCCAGGCAGTCTGAAGGGCACTGGTGATAGGCAGGGAAAAGCAGTGAAGGTGGCCCCAGGACAGGCAGGAGTGGTCTGCCAAGGTGCCGGTCCTGCTTCGGGGGGCCCCAGCGCCGCATCCTGGTCTGCCCTCGCTGACGTTTGGCAGAGGGCTCAGCTGCCACATGCACCAACTGCTGGGGTATCGCGCTACAAACGGCACCTTGTCCTGGGGGAGAGCCACCGTGCTACTGCACGCCAGTACACGCTACCTGCCTGCTGTCAGCGTGCACGGGCGCCGGGCTGTGCATGGGCAGGATCGTCCCCTGGGGCGCGTGGAGCCGGGCGCCAGCCTGGGGTGGGCGGTGGGCAGGACCGGTGCCACCGGCTCGCTGGGCATCCACCAAGCGTCCTGAGGGAGCGTGGCTCAGCCCGGGCATCACTGCTGATCAACTTGCCGTTGCTTATTTTGAAATAATCTCATAAATCACCAGTTGGTGGGGTTTTCTTATGTGCCTGCAAGAAGACTTCTCGCCTGGGGGCCTGTGCACCGGATGGCTTGCAGAAAAGTTTGTGGCATTGCCTTTCACTATGGTACTTCTTGTGAACAAATGCTAAGCTTGCACAAATGTTTGTGGAAGTGAATAAGGAGCTGTGAATAGAGTTGGAGTGAATGGCTAGGCCACATCTGATGGCTGGGGGGTGTTTTTTCCCCTACATTTTTCTCCCTGTTGCAGTCACACCTGCAGGCTTGCCGAGTGGTACCCACTGCCCCATGGAGAGGCCGGCTGCCTGCTGTGCCTGTGGCGAGGCTGGCTGCCTGCGGTGAACCTGGCCGTACCGGAGCATGCAGGTGGCTGCGGGTTGTGGCGGGGGCATCCGGGGACGACAGCGTGACCGCGTGGGTATGGCATGTCCCTCAGAGAGGAGAGTGTCGGGAGCCCTCTCGAGTGCATCTGTGACCGCTGCTGGTGAGCTGGAGCAGGGGCCGGAGTGAAAACCTAAACCATCTGGGGTTTGGGTTTCCAACGTCCTACATGCGCCTTTGACAGCCAAACTCCCATTTCTTTTGCTCTGGGGGTGTTTCTCTTCCCTCGCTCCTTCCCACTGCCTGGGAAGGGGAACGCTGCTCGGTGCATTTGAGGCAGGAAGGAAAGCCTGGAGCTGTTTAAAACTCGCAATCTTCAGGGAATTTCAATCGCTGTCCAAGCCTGTTCGCAACCAACTGAATAACGGTGCAGGGTTTGAATCGCTGGCCCGCCTCCGCAGGCAGCGCTGCCTCCTCCCTCCCTCCCTCCCTGCCTGTGCCGAGCTCCTGCCCGCACTGGGGCTCTGCCCAGCTCTGCGTGCCGCAGGCAGCAGCCATGGGGGTGCCAGGGTGGGCTCTCCCTGGGGCTGGGGGCAGCGCCGCGGTCTAGGGGGGCTCTGCGCCTGCCCCTCTGCCCGGCCCATCATGCCATTGCTGGATTTTTTCTGGGCTTGCTTCAAAAGAGCCAAGGTAAGGAACTGCCTAATGGTGTCCGTCTTTCGACACCCTCCTAATTTCAGGAGAAGCTGCCGGAAGGGGCAGTGGGGGAGGCGTCTCTAGTCGGGCTGGGGTTTGCGCATGGTGCCTGACGTCTGCTCCGGAGGGATGTCGTGCCCGTGCCCCGCGTGCACGTGAAAGGTTAATTTTGGATGGGCCGCATGCGGCTGCGTTGGTCGGTGTGCCCTGGGCTCACCCGCTACCCATCAGCGATGGTACCCGTGTCTCAGAGCCAGCAGCCCCGAGGGCAGGCAGGGTGCTGCGCCTGGCCGAACGCGGGCAGCGTGTGTGTGTGGATGCAGCACCGGTGGTTATAATGCAGTCGTTGATGGGCTCTGTGTGTGTGTGTGCTGCCAGCCCCCCGACGTGGTCTGCACACGCCAAGCCGGGTCCTGCTGTGCATGGCTCAGGTGGTGCAGCTGGGCTGGGGGCACCCCTGCAAACTGGGGCTCGCCTGGAGGCTCCGGTCACTCCCGGCGCGGCAGCGGGACCACGTCTGGCTTTGCTGACCTGGAGGGATGGGGCGGCTGTGAGCGGGATGACAAAGGAACAGTGAGACCGGAGGCCCTGAGTTTTTAATTTCCTGCAGCAGTGGTTCTCATGGCATCTGGTATTTTTCATTCGGGTTTAATTCCTCATCTGCCGCCTTAATAATGTACAACTCTCTCTGACTGCCCCTGTTTGTTGTGTTGGATTTTTTGTATCACAGCCTGTGCAGTGTGGTGGTAGGTGTGCTGGGTAGACTTTGGAGGTACTGTGAGTATGGATTTCAGGAGCTTCAGACTGGAAAAAGCACTAAAATCCCTTTCCAGCCAGTGCTGTACACCGGGCTGTGTCAAGCGAGTGGATCTGCTGTGGTGAAATGAATATGGAATGCATGCTGTTCCCCCGGGGTTTCAATGCAAAGCTTAAAATAGTTGAGGCTAAAAATGACATTTGTGAAATTCATTAATAATATTAGTAGCTGTCTTGTCCCTGCTGTCTCCAGAGAGCTTAGCAAGTCCTTGTTAACCCTCCTCGTCCCTGTGAGCTGCGTGTTGTCATTGCCATCGTGCTCATGGCGACAGGGAGACAGGGACCGGGTCCTGCATCCCCCCTTGCAGAGCTACAGCTCCCAGAGGGCTCCAGCCTGGCCCGCGCTGGGCTCCCCGGTGCCCGCGGACTTCAGCGAAGTCGAAAGCAACCAGCAGACCGCTGGTAACCTCGTGCCTGAGGAAGGGTCCGGTTGCCCAGCTGGCGTGGGTGGCGGGGAGGAGGCGGCAAGCTGCTGGGAGCCGTGAGATGGCTCCTGCCCTTGCTGTCCCCGGGCCCCCCTGGCTGCAGCTGCTCCTCTGGCTGCGGCCCCGGGCAGCGCATGGGTCTTATCCCCACCCTGGACATGTTCCCAGCTGCCCCCCCCCCCCCCCCCTCCCCTTCCCACCGGATACTTCCCCATCTGAACCCTCCAGTTTTACTAATTAAGCTGGTATTTTTATCTGCTTCTTGCTTAGAAAATGCTTTTGCAGTATGCCTGGAGCCGTGTGGGGACTGAGCATGGGCAAAAGTCATTCATGGGTCTGGGAGTAAATTTGTCCTTTGGTTCTGGGGCTCTTCCTCCCCACTGTCACCCCTGGGCACTGAAGTGTCATGTCCAGGCACCCGTGCAGGGGCCTGTGAGTAGGGAAGCTCCAGGCAATGGGAGGCTCCAGAAGATACTTGCCATGAGATAGCTGAGCTTTACGCTCAGAAGGGACGGGCTCTGACCAAGGAGAACAAGTCCTGGAGAACAGGGGTGAGAGTCCCTTGGCTCACCACCTCCAGCTACCTGCTGTGGGGAAAAAGAAAATCTGTTTCAGTAGTTGTAAGCGAAGTGGTGCTTCCCTCGGAGCAGTGGCCCAGCGGTGAAGGACAGGGGACTCTGCCTGGATGGGAGCTTCCCCGATGCTCCGAGGCGAGGGGCAAAATGATGTTTCTGCATTTTGTGCTTCCTCATTAGCTCAGCTCATGAGGTTCTTGTTGAGTTTGGCATCGCAAAACCCCAGGGCGGTGATAAGGGTCTCCCTGCTAGATACTACAGGTGCCTTGCTCCTAAGTTCAGGAGTGTTGTGCTCTTTGCATAGTTTCCTTTGCTGGTTTTAAGCTTCCCGTTGCTCTGCTTGCAGCGACACAAGGTAACCTGGTGGACACTTCATTTCTCTCTTCTTCCATCGGCATACTGCCGTTCCCATATTTCCACTTCAATTCCACAGTAGCCACCCCCGCACCAGCAAACGAGACCTGGCTGATCCCCACCTGGGTCCCACAAGTGCTGGACAAGTCCCTGTGGAGTGCGAGGCTTTGGGAGAGGGGCAGCCGGGGAGCAGCTCTGCCTGGACGGAGCTGAGAGCTGCTCCCAGGGCCGAGCGGCTGGGTGGGCTTTGGGGCCAGCCAGGACCTTCGGGAAGCCGAAGGGACAGAGGACACCGCCCTCCTGATTTCCCTCGGCGAGTACTGATGGCCTTGCGTGGGGCTGAGGCTTCTGCTTCGGTCTGGTTTCCCGTTTTCCTCCCCGTGCCGGTGCTCGCTATGAACAGCGGAGGAATTTCTTGAAGGGGGAGAAATGTGCAGGGCTCTGTCCGTGGGATTAACGCCTTCCAGGTTAAATGAGGTAGAGCTGTGGCTGGTGGAAGATTTCATGGGGAAAAAGAAGGTGTTAGTGCCCAGACACAACGGCAGAGGAGAGGAGGCTCCTTAAAGCTGCCTTAGCACAGGGACCAGCTTTCCCTGCCCTTGCTATGGCCTGGGAGAGCAGCCCTACCTCATCGCACGCCAGACCTTGCCCCACTCCGTGGGTATCAACTGCATGTGCCGGCTGCAAGGCTGATGTTTGCAGAGCTTGTGATAACAGACAGGATGGAGCGATCATCTCCCTGTCCAAACATTTTCGGCTCTGATGCTCTCCAGTTGCCCGCACACTGCCAGAGCGGGGCTCGGGCGTCTGCACAGGCTCTCCTGGGGGAGCACAGAGCTGAGCATGCAGCTCTCGGGCAGGCGCTGCTGCAAGAAGCCCGGCAGTGGGGAGATGGTTAAGCCCATCTCCCCCCGGGTCATCCCCAGCCCCGCTGCCCCGGCAGGAAGAGGGCTCCCGGGTGGCCCGTGGGAAAGGCCGGCTCAGCAGCACGCTGCATTCCTGCAGCGATCCCCGCCGCCCTGCCAGCATCTCTGGCCCCGCTCGGCAGGGCTGCAGCTGTGCTGGAGGGGGCTCACCTCTGCCCAGAGAGGGGCCTGGGGAGGGTCCTAGGCTCTGCGCTCGCCTCGGGACCCGGGCAGCGCCGGGACCCTCCTGCTCCTCCACCTCCGTGCAAATTGCTGTCGTCTGCCATGTGCTGGCAAGGCTCTGCCATCTGTAAATCCCATTTCCCTTGGCTTTGTCCCCAGAAGTCCAGCCCCAGGCGAGGGGCAGCCCCTGTGTGTGCTGCTGGTGGCCCCTTCCCCACCCTGGGTGCTGTGCCCGTGGAGAGGTTCGGGGAGCAAGAGCCCTGCCTGCTTTCAGCTTTTCTTTGTTTTTATTTCCTTTCTTTATTGTTGGCTTTCCGTGCTTGCAGACACCATTGTACGCTCTGCTCCCAGACCTGCTAACGCGATTAAAACCTGGACATCTCCACTGCCATCCGTGCAGCCGCACAGGTACCGAGGGACGTGTTCGGGGGGGACCCCAGCCCAGTGCTTCCTCCGCTGGAGCAAGCGTCTGCCCCACCGAGGCTCCCCCAGTGCCGTCCAGAGCCAGATGCAGCTCCAGCGCAGGCCGGCGTGGCACTGGTTGGAGGGCACAGCTGTGCCGGTTTGGGGTCGACCCTGTGCCTTGTCCATCTTGGTGACCTATCAGTGCACAACACTCTTTTCCTTCCTTGTGGGAACCGGAGGGCACGTAGAGATAGGGTGCAAAGCCAGTGAGAATAGATGCAGGGGGGAGGAGAAACTCCACGAGCTCTCGGTTAGGGCTTTGCTGGGCTGCAAGTCCCTGTGTTGAAATTCCCATGTGGAGGCTCAAAGGGAAAAGGGCTCCTTCAGTAATTCGCTCCGAGGCAGGGTCCGAGTGTCCTGGGATCTCTCTTCCTTCTGCTCCAGCTGTTTCTCACGCCGTTAGCAGAGCCCTTCTTCAGAGGAGCTGCTGCAGCCTCCCCCCCCCGGCTGATGGTCCCTTCCCCCTTCGTTCTGCTGCTGGAGAAATCACCCAAAGCAGCCGTTCCTAAAGCAGATGCTCCCCGAGCCCTGGGGATGAGACTGGATTCTTCTGAAATTTGTCTTGGAAAAGCAGTTATGCTTCGTGCACTGTGACGATGCTTTTCACCCAAAGCCCTTGGGATATTGTGGAACCCGGGTCTCGGTGTGTCCTGCGAGGTGGGAGGGGTCTGCCCGGGAGGGGAAGAGGGCGGTGGGGTCTGGCTGCAATGGCTGGGAGTGGTTTCTCTGGCTGCTGTCCCACCGCAGGTGCTCTCCCCAGGGGTTTCTCTGGTGGAAAGGCACCGGAGCCGCCAGCTCTGCCGCAGGCGGAGCAGCAGCTGTGAGGAGCTGAGGGATGCTTGGGTGAGGGACCTGAGCTGGAGAGAGGACTGTGGGACACAGCTGACAGCCAAGGGGACCGGCCTGCAGGGAGCGCGCCCTTCGTCTCTGCCCGCTCCAGCCGCTGGGTGTCAAACCCAGGGCGAGGAGGAGGAGGAGGAGCGGGAGGTGACCCATGGGTTTCCTGTGGCAGAGCCCCGTGCGGGGGCTGCGGGACCGGGCCTGGGTGTGATGCGCAGTGCACGGTGCGTGGTGTGCAGGCGGCTCACGGGCATCACCTGCGGCACGGTGGCGCAGAGCAGAGCACCGCGGTCTGCACGCTCGGAGGAACAGACCGCGTCCTCCCCACCTCCGTTTTTGTTCCTTGTTGCAGATCTGACGGCCCTTGCCTGCCTACCTGTTCCCTCTCTGGCAATTTTGCAGCGTCCTTTCCAAGCTGCCAGGCAGAAAGGTCCGCCTCCAGCCCTCCCTCTCTCCCCGGCTCCCTCGCCTGCCCCAGGGATGCAGAGCCCCTGGCCCCGGCTGCTGCTGCTCCTCCGATGGCTTCCAGGAGGCAGGGAGCCGTGGTGATGGGCGTGTGCTGGGCACGTCCTTTGCTAGAGCTCTGCTTGTCCTCAGAGCCGGAGCAGGCACTGCTGGTCCCAGCTCCTCTCCAGGGAGCAGGGAAGGGAGGTGGTCCCTGGCCCACGGCCCCACGTCTCTCCTGGGGCTGCCTCTGCCCTGCGCCCGCTCTCCTCCTGCCTGCTGCCGCGTCCTGGCTGCGCTCGCATTTTGTGTGTGTTTGTTGCCCTCTATAGCGAAAGCCAGACAAGGGAACCCTGCAGCACCTCCCGCGGGACCCTGCAGTTGCCTGCCCCCTCCCCGCCCCCACTTCCCAAACTCCAGCGGCACCCAGGCGTGGACATTCAGCGGCTGAAGGGGCTGGAGTGGGGACCGAGCCCGAATGTGAGCAGTAGGAGACCGTGAATGTGAAAATCAAAATAGATAACAAAATGATTTCTGTTCTTTTTTCTTTCTTTTCACAGTGTTTCACATTGCTAGAAGATAAAAAAGATGCAGGTAAGCTGCGACAATGTTTTTCGGGGCAGGAATGCCCTCGCTGCGGGGTGGGCAGGGGTTACAAGAAGAAGAGGACCGTCCTCTTGCTGGGCTTCTGGTTTCTTCTGCCAGCAGTATGAGTTTTTCCCCAAACTGTTACTTTTCAAAGGGGCAGCCAGTGTGAGGTAGTGCCAGCCAGGGCACCCGCCGAGCCCCAGCGGTGCAGGAGGCACCCCCAAGACGTGCCCAGCCCCTCCTTCACCACATCCCTTTCCCCACCCTGGCTGCAAATGAGGCTTGGCGGTACATTGCACTAATCACCAGTTAGCGGTGTGAAATCCCGGCCGCTGTGTGTGCGGAGGAGTCCCGCAGAGAGGAGCGGGCCCCCTCACCGGCATGCGTGCGCTGCCGTAGCTGTGCCGACACGGTGAGCCATTCAACCAGCCCGGCAGCGGCTCTGCTCCTTTCTGGTTCCTTTTCAATTCCTCTCTTCTTTGTGGTGAATGATGTTATGCTCTGCAGATAAGCTCATTAGGAGCTCCAGAGCCTTGAAACTGCCATGCCATAGGAAGGAGGGTCTCCCCCGGCTTGGAGCCCCCTCCGCTTTGTGTGATTGAGATGTCTCACCAGCGACAGCCGGGCAGGAGGGAATCGCGTTGCAGCTCCTGGCTGATCCGTGGTTGTTGTCTGCATGTCCATGGGCTGCTTCTGCCCTAACCGTCCCTCTGCAAAGGCGGGGGGAGAGGCTGGGGGTCAGGGCCACCCTGCCGCGGGGGGCTCGTGGGTGCTGGGGAGGCCGGAGGCTGGTGGTGATCTACAGGAGGAGGAGGAGGCATGCGCCTGCGGGACTGGGGACCAGGGATGGGGACAGGGCTTGTAGGCTCCCGGACAGGGCACAGCCAGCTCGTTTTAAGAACACTGCAGGGCCCCGCTGCCAAACATGTCTGAAACGGCACTGACGGTCCCGGCTGCTGCTCTGCCGGGTGTGAAGAAACGCTCTGGATTTCGCTTTGCCCTTGTGTTCAACCCCAGACAAACAGCCCCATGGGCAAGCATGGCCCTGCTTGTGGGCAAGATGGGTAGAGGTCCTGCACTTTATAGTCTCACCAGTTGGTCTAATGGAGGCTCTTTGCTCAGCAGTGGCTCAGAAGTAAACCTGGCCCGGTCCTACAGTCAGCTTATGGTCACTAGCTCTCAGCAGCTCAGGAAGCGGAGGGACCCGGGAGCGCTCCTCTGCCCTGTGTGGGCTCCTCTGCCCACAGGTCCCGCAGATGATGGCTCTCGAAGAGGAGCGGTGCTGCCCGCGCTGCCGGCCGGAGCCTCCGGCGCTGTGAAACGGGAAATGCCGTCTTGCAGGGAGCCCGCGGGATGTGCCCGGTGATTTCCGAGCAGTTCCCTTAACTGGAGGGCAATGACCCGGCCTCTTGTTTTTCATCCACGTAAGGGTTAGGTGAGCTCTGAGCCTGTTCGGCACAAGAGCCCGGGAGCACAGGAGAGCTCTGGGCAACAAAAGGTGCTTTGTGAACGGAGCTCCAGAAGTAATCCTGGGTGGTCTCTCTTGCCCTTTCACGGGAGAGATTAACAACATGAATATCAAGAGCTTGTTAAAGAGCCCTGTGCAAGGGAAGGGGCAGGGAAGACTCCTACAGATCGCATCCATGGCTAGGATTTTGGGGGGAAGTATGTTTATAGGTTTTTTTTTCCCCTTGGTTAAAACCGCCTGTAAAATCCAAGTCTCTCCTGGTAAAGGCTCAGCTACATTCACAACACTGCCAGCCCGCACCTTCCTGGCCACACGTCCACGACCCAGCCTGATGAGCTCTGCGCTGCTGGAGGGATGCTCGGCCGCCACAGCGCCACGCTTGCGTAGGGGTCTGAGGGCAGGGGGAGCAGGAGCCCTCGCGTACGTGAGCAGCTGCGCGGTTTTACACCTGTGATTCGATGCATCGGCTGGAGCCGTAGCAGGCTACTCAGCATCGCTGCAATCTGCAGCAGCACGGTGGCCAGGGGAGCGTGGTTGAAGCTCTCCCTTTCATGTGAATTACGCTGGACTTGGAGCAAGCCCGCAGGCAGTTCGTACCCTCCACTGGGGTTTTTAAAGCTCTGAGAAGAGGCTGGTGCATTTGCTTGCTGTTCTCTTAGCTGATCATCCCTAGAAGATGCTCTGACAAATGGGGGTCACTTAAGGAAACATTCAGATAGTGGTCTCAGGAGACACCATTCCCTTCCCTGATGATTTTTTTAATCTCTTTGGGGTGGGTACCAAGAGGACCTCAGCTCTCGAGACAACGGCATGAGGCAGGGTTGAGTTGGTTCTGCGTTTATCCCGGTTAACTGTTTGGAACGTGCCTCTCCTGGCTCTTCCATCGCTTCCTGGAGCCTGCGCCTGATTCCCCCTGCAGCACCACTCCTCTCCCACCACACCCGGCAAACTCCCTGAGCCGCTTCCCGAGGTGCAGCCAGACCCATTCCCAGCTCCCAGGCCCCGTCCCTGCCTGCGAGCAGCCGGGAGCTGGGGCCGTGCTGCCACGGCCCCTTCCCTGAACGTCAGCTGTACGAAGTCGCTGCTGCTTCCCACTGTCGTTAAAACAGCTGGGTACGCCGTGCTCACCTCCCGCAGCAGTAACGGTGGAAAACAACTTGGATTTCATCTGCTTGCTTAGAGGTAACGTTTCAGCAGGAGCACGCGGGGACTCGGTCTCCTCCCAGCAGCGGCTGCCAGCCCGGGGGGGCATTGCCGGCGCCTGTGCCAGCAGCGAGCACCAAGGAAGCCGCTGAACAGTCGTCGCCGGTAACCCGCCTCCACGGGCAGGGTCACAGCCTGTCTCTCAGACAATTTAATTGAAGGAAAAAAACCCAGAACTTCGATTTTTGAGACAAACCAGCCAAAACTGTGCAGTGTGCTACCCGGAGGGAGAGCCCTCTCCCCCGACCCTGTGGCGAGCCCTCCCTTCCCGTGGCATGAGTGGGTAGCCCTGCGTCCCCACCGTCCCACCCACCGCCCTGCCCAGCGGCAGGACCCCACCTCGCATTGCCACGGGGGTCCCCTCCTGCGGGCACCCCCAGGCTGTGTGGGACGCAGTGCCCGCCGCGCGGCCCCGAGCCGTCCCGCTGGAGCAGTCCCAGCCGGGGCCGGGTTTCCATGGATTTCCTAACCCTCCGCTTCCTCTCTGACATTCACTTCCCATGTATTGTTCTGGACAAAGCAGAAAGGAAAGGCTCGCACACCAGCCGTGCACGCGAAACCTGCATCCTCTGAATAGATTCCTGCCGATAGCAGCATCAGGCCTCTCCAAAAGTAGGATCGGGAGCATGCTCTGCAAATGTCATTAAGCAGTGGCCTCCTCTAACTGCCGAGGGACGGGGACTGAGCTCATGGCTTCTTTCCGTGCAGCCAGGCGATGATGATATTATAGTATTTCAAAAGTGGGCTTCTGCGACTGGACGTGGTGAAATAATAGCGAAAAGAAGCACGAGGGACTCTGCTGAACTTTTGCCCCTGCGTGAAATAATAAGGTTGTATTTACCCAGCATCTGGATCTCTGAAAATAACTCGCTAAATTTAGCTGTTGTTGATATGTTGTCACAGCTGAGTTGTTCTCTCTTTACATGAAAATGTCCTGCGCTGGTTCTGTTGGTTTGTAGCCCGAGCACAAGCCCTTCGTTCCTCTCCTGGCGTGTGCTCGCATGTTTGGTGCCCTGTTTTGGGGGGGAGAAGAGGGGGATGGGGATCTGGTTTTCTGTCGTTGCTTGAATAGGCTGAAAGAGAGAGAGACCGGGGGGCTGGCAGGGTGGCTGCTGCGAGGGTGGCTGCTGCGAGGGTGTGCAGCCGTGCCGGGACAGGCAGGCGTGCAGGGACCAGCACCGCTGCCCTCGGCACCAGGGCCGCACTCTGTCTGCAGTATCCATGCAAGGGAGGAGACGGGTGGCTTGAAGGCACGGGGTGGGATGCTGGGTGTGGCTGCAGGGACCTGTTTCTGGGGACTTCTGAAACTCCCTGAGAAATTGCTGCCTGTTACATGGTGGAAAATGTGGGCACGGGTCTGGATCCCGAGCGAAGAGGTAGGAAGTAGAAAAGCTGAACTGAATGTGATTATTAGTGGTTTTGGTGTGACATGTGATGAAAGGGAGCCTGCGTTGCTCTTTCCTCTTCCCTGCCCTCCCGCGGGGTCAGTCTCGGGCTCGGCTGGTGAGTCACGCTGACACGCCGACCTCGGTCCCAAAGTAACTTCAGGTCCCTCCTCGGAGCTGCGCAGCCCCTGGGAGCCTGGGTGGGCGGCAGCCCCCGTCCCAGAGCCCCGCTGGTGCTGGCCTGGGAGCAGCAGCACCCGACCCACGCTCGGATGGGCTCTGCCACTTTTGGTTATTTTTCATGAAGGAAGAGGATTGTTCTTCAAATATTTTCATTTTCCTTCTGTTACAGGCTCCGTGGCCTTACTCCTGGGCACTCTCCTATCACTGGGAATTGTTCCCCTGCCTGGCTAGTGTAAAATGCTTTGTGATTAGCTCTAAGTAGTAAAAAGTTTAAAAAAAAAGTAAAAAGGTAATGCCTAAACAAGAATTTATACACTAAAAATCACCCTGCTAGGGCAGCTTCACAGCAAACGGTTTATGCTTCTTTCCATCAGATGTTTTCTCGGGAGCTGGGGACGGCATCTCCTCAGGCTTGAGACACAATCTCCAGCGTTTCCTTTTCAGCCTTCTCAGTGAACCCTTGAGGTTATTTTTGAACCGCTGAGCTTTTTGATATGTATTTATCCATATTGGTTTAATTTCCCCTAGAAGGTAGGCTGGTGCTAAAGCCTCTGGGCAGAGCCAAGGCTGCAAGCTCTGACGTTTCCTGCCTGTCCCCCCGGGTCACTGGCTGGGGATATTTACGGCTAGGTGCCTTCTCCGCTGTTTCAATAAAACAGCTTTCTCGGTGCTGTGCTAGGCACTGCCCGTCCCCGTCAGTGCCTCCGTAACACCCAGCCGCTTTCCGGGAGCCGCTGCTTCGTGCTGCTGCTTCTCCGCAGCCCCTG